GAGTGTAGCTGCACGTCCATTAGTTTGTGCAGTGTATTATTAAAAACGAATCAATGGCTGCACGAGCCTATGGCGACACAGCCCGCCAGAGCCCACCAATTTGGGTGGGGCATCTGGCTATATAAGCGTGCACCTTGCCTTAGGACCGAGTCGTGCAGCTACATAGCACAGCCAGCAACGTAGTACTCGTTCCCATATCTCAGGGAACCAAGGTTACGTTAGTAACCCAGTACGTTCCCTATCGATACTTCACTCGTATTACGTCTTGCTTAAGACACTTTGGGGAACCAGTACAATCCCGCCATGCTATTGTAGAGGAACGACCCATGCTTGAACTTGCCTTGAGTACCAAGGGCCCAGAGGGACCAAATAATTGTAGGGAAGCCCAACAGGAAGCGATAGGGCCAAACTCACAGAGGTCGGCCTGGCACTAAGTAATCGTTCCAAGAAAAATCGTACAGCCTCGGAACCCAGTGGGGGCCAAGAGCATACAGAGAAGGCAAATGCCTGATTTAGCACTGGTTTTGCCAGAGTACGTCTATTTAAGCAGAAAGGACCCAAGCCTGTAAAACCGGGACATCCAGATTATAAAACCTGGTAAATGTGGACGGCGAGGCCCAGCTGGCTGCCACACAAATTTCTGCAATGGAAACTCCGCTAGACCACGCCCAGGATGAGGCAATGCCTCTTGTTGAGTGGGCTCTTACTTCCATGGGGCATTGAAGGCCCAAAGAAGAGTACGCTAGCTTGATAGTGTCAATTATCCATTTGGAACATGACGGCGTCCGAGACGCCAGGCATGGGACAGAACTCGCAGTTTCAGCCAACACTGAAGGGGCTGCATGCGAAGCAGGCCCAGCTGAAGTACCGGAGACGCAGAGGCCATGAGGCCCAGCATCTTCTGAACTGCCTTGAGAGGGCAAGGGGCTCCAACTTTGAATGAGGCCACGAGCTGGTGAATAGCCAGTGCATGTTCTGGCGCAACTACGTCGAGAACTGTTCCCAGGAACGAGATCCGTTGGCTGGGGGACAGCGCGCTCTTGGCAAAATTGACCCTGAGTCCCAGGCATTCTAAGTGGCTTAGGAGGAAGGAACTGTGAAATAGTAGCTCGCCCTCCAACTGGGCCAAGATGAGCCAGTCATCGAGGTAATTCAAAATGCGGATTCCCATCTGTCTCAGCGGGGAAAGAGCACTTTGTAAAAGTGCGAGGTGCTAGGGACAGTCCAAAGGCAAGGACCGTATATTGATTTGCCACTCCCTCGAAGGTGAATCTCAAGAATTGTCTGTGGTGGGGGGCTATCTGGATGTGAAAGTAGGCGTCTTTCAGATCCAGCGAAAAGAACCAGTCCCCTGGGCACACTTGTGAGAGGATCTGTTTCAATGTAATCATCCTGAACAGCCGATTCATGAGGGCTTGGTTCAGGTGCCTGAGATCGAGGATGGGCCTTAGATTGCCATCCTTTTTGGGGACGAGGAAATAGCGGCTGTGGAAGCCTGACTCGCTTTGAGCTGGAGAAACCATTTCTACGGCTTCTATCGCCAGCAAATTCATCACCTCGGAGTGCAGGACGTGTGCGTCTTTGCTCTAAACCGAGGTGGAAACCACGCCGCTGAATCGCGGGGGTCTTCGGGCAAATTGCAGTGAATAACCTCGTTTTATTATTCCCAAAACCCAGTTTGGAACTCCGGGGATGGCCTACCAGGCCTCAGCCCGTGTGACAAGGGGTTGGATTAATTAGAGTGGATGGTCACCGTATGGGTGCCCGTATGGCTGCCTCAGCGTGGGCGTGGCACAGACGCGTCCAATTTGAAGTTGTCAGTGATAATCATTAGTGACAGCATTCCCTTTTAATCCACCTAAAAAGATCAAACCACTCATTAGAAGAGGAGTACTGATGATCTTTATGTGTAAACACTCAGGCAGCTCAAAAGTGTTGCGTGCATTCTCTCAGATCCACTCGTGGCAGACGAGGGGAGGGGCGGGGCTGCCTTCATTGAAGAAGACGAGCCATGAGCAAAGTAGAGCGAGACATGAACTCTCATAGCGAGAGCGATCTGTCTCTGAGCGCCCTCTCAGCGTGGGCATGGCCCAGGCGAGAGGCGCATTCAAATACTAAGCTGTCAGCGATATTGAATCA